CAACAAGAGGTACTGACATCCCAGATTTTTCTACTGGAGAAGACAAAACATAACTACATAACATCAGAACATGAAAGGGCTAAGAAGAGCCATAAATATGGGCAAAGGGATGGAGAGTGATAATTAATAAGGAAGGCTTCTCTGAGCAAGTGATATCTGAGCATAGACCTGAGTGAAATGAGTGATCACCTGAGCATGTTGGGAAGAGCTGTCCAAGAATGGGAAAACAGGTACTGCCAGCTCCTCTGAGAGCATGTGCCTGGCATGTCAAGAACAGCTAGTTTTTAGTATTTCAGTATGTGGCTGGTCCTTCTGTTAGGGGGAAGGGATGTTCTCAAAGTACAGATGCATGTTTTGTGGACTCCACCCCCACTCCAGACACCAAAACTACAACTCCTAGTAACACCAAAGGGAGAACTGTTAGGACCCCAGGGTGGAGTTAAGTAGCCATTTTGGGATTTTTTGGGTATAAAGGTGGGCATGTTGGGCTGAGGCTCTCTCTCCCTTGGCCTCATGGCTGGCAGCTGGTTGCTTGGCTCTTGATCAGCTTTCAGTGTGCTATTGGTGTTCCAAGTCAGCAGAACTGGTAGGATGCACTATTAACTTGTATCTCTCTCTCTGTCTATCCCTGGGTTGTTATTTTTCTTTTCCCCTTGTAAATAAATCCACTATTGACCTTTTGTGTGTGTCTGCAATACAGCTGAATCTTAAGTGCATGGGTGAGGACCCACAGACAGGCAACACTGGGTTCACATTGGGTTGCCCTATTACACATCTCATTGTATTTCTGATTCCCAGACCTTAGCTGAATGATACACACCTCCATTCTACTTTACGTCAGTGTCTCACATTACTTTTGGAGGCTTGCTTGATTTTCTCTGAAGTTCTAACCTGTAGTATACCACTTAGACCTTAACTCCCAAGTCTTAGTTTCCTTACCTCCTTTCTTTCACTATACTCATTCTTCTTCCTGAAGTTTCTTAAGTCTTCCCTTTCCTCCCAATCTATTAGGTAAACCCTCTGATTCCCTCTCCAACCTGAATTCTTTCAAACCTGGGCAGTATAGGAGCAGTGATGAGACTGGAGCTAGACTGTTTGGGTTAAAATCCAAGCCCTACTATTAACTCCTTGGGCCTTAGCTTTCTAGCAACATCGTAATAGTAACCTTCTGTTATAAGGGTGAAGTGAGCTGATGCTCACAAGATGCTTAGAAAAGTGACATGCTTTACAGTAAGCATATGATAGATGGGATCATGATAATTTTGTTATTATCATCATTATTCAATGCGCTGTCTGTGCAACAATTTGAACCTCTGTGATTTAAGTTCTCCTTCTGTGGAATCATCTTGGAAAGCTCAGTCTCTGCCTTTATCTAATCACCTGTCTCAGCTCTGGCTAACAGCTGAGGAATCCTGGCAAAAATCAACTTGACTATGCAGGTTGACATTGCTGCACATTTAGAGGTCTGGGACTCTGCTTGGTCCAGCACCAGCTTGAAAATCCCTTTACATGTATCTGATTTCCTCACTCATTTCTCCCCATCCCTGTTCTAACCCTTTATCATTATTTTTAACACCCCAAATGTTGACCCTTTCATCCTGGCTTGACAGCTCTTATACAACATTTCTGCACACTGCTGAAAATGTATCTTTATTCTTAAATCCCTGCTCAAAGACAGGGGTTTTCTACTTTCTGTCTCAGACTAGTTATCTAAACAACTTCCCATCTCATTTATTTGGGGGCTCAGTTACACAATTATGTCTCTTTTCCCTCATTCATTTCATTCACCCATCTTTCCAATCTTAACAGAATAACACAACAAAATAGCATCTCTCTGAACTCCAAATAACTCTCTATCAGTTGCCCCATCTTCTTTCATCTACAGTAAATTTCTTGACATTGCCAGCAGCACTGGGGCAAAACTGACCTTGGCTGAAAACCAATGATTAGCAGATAAGGCAATACAAAGTCAGGCACCCCACATATAACTAAATGCCACAGAGGTTCTAAAAGGCCCACAGAGGCCCCAATCCTTTTCACTCATTCATTACATTGTATCCTGCCAAACCCTCTTCCAAAATCCAATTCCTCAGCAGACAATAGACGGTGCTGGTCTGCACATCTTCACCCTTCCCTCAATTTCAGCTCACTACATGGTGACTTCTGGCCCTAATTCCTAGAAACTATTGTAATCTGTCTCTCTTCCTAATTGCAATTGCCAAATCCAATGGGTGTTTCTATCCTTACTCATATGAGTTTTCTGCAACATTCTGATCATGACTATTTACTTGAAACTTTTCCTTTTTTTCTTTTTTAAATATTTATTCATGCATACAGAACTGGGGTACAGGCCAGAAGTGCGGGGGCGGTGAGAGGATTCACCCCAGCGACAGAGTAAGGAGAACAGTCAGATCGGAAGTACACTGCTTAGGGGAGCAGTGGAGGAGAGAGGAGAGGTCTGCTGTGCCACGTGGGTCACCTCTGGGGCTGGGGATTGAACTCACACTGAAGCGGCTGTGGCTAGCTGCGTCCCAAGCTGCTGTGCTGTGCCACCAGGGAGGGCTGAAATTCTTTCTCTGGCTTCCTAAATGCCACCTGTTTTGCTTCTCCCACTTCTCAGTGCATCTTCTTCTCTACCCCTTTGTTAGCACCTTTCTCCTTAAATCTCAGTTTTTCTCCAGCAGAAGCACCCCCTCAATCCCCTGCCCCCCCAACTCTTTCCCTAGTGGCCTCCTTTATTCCCATGACTTTAACAATCAGCAACATGGTGGCTCCCCCTCAGTCCCGCTCTCTAGCACATACCCCATCTCCAGCTCCAGGAGGTATTGCCTGCAGTCTCCTGGGCATTCCCTTCTGCATTTTAGTGCTAACACACATTTAGTAAGGCTATTCTTATCTTTTAGCAGTTCTTGCTGTTATCTAATTGGATGAGCTCCTTGAAGATACCGATCTTTTCTATTTTCTCTTTAAATGATCTGAACGTAGCATAGAGCCTTGCACTTAGTAACTGCTGCACGTTAATGGTTTTTTGAACTAAGGAATGGATGTGCTTGTCCTTTCTTCCCAGTATTGTGGTGGATTGGCCTAGAGGTCCAAAATAGAATTCTTTTATTACCTCCAAATATCCATTTCAAATCTTCTCAGTTGGAGACATCACAGTTAGCTTAAGTGCTCACCCATACACCACAGGACTCATCCATAATCTTTCCTGTGTCTCCTTCTTTAATATCAAATTCATAAGCTAGCTGTTAGCCCTCATTCAAGCCATGTTCTAAATTTCACTACTTGTCACCATCTCTAACACTGCTACTTTGTCCAAGCCTCTAACATCCCTTACCTGTCCAATCTGCCACAATCTCCTAGTTGGTTTTTTTCCCCCTTCGTCTGCTATCTCCTTATATTTCAAAACATTCATCAGGTTATCTCACTTCCCTCCATAAAATGCTTCATGATTCATTACACTTGGAATATCATCTAAATTCTCTCCCAAGGCTTCTGGAGAAGTGCATTACTACATTACCTGGCTGCTTCTAACCTCTCCCACCCTGGCTCCCAGCCCAAATCTGATTCCCACCTCCAAGCCCCATATACACTCCACCAGGAGTCCTTCCTCCTATCTCCCACACTTACTCTACCTCACAGCTTACAGCAGTGGTTCCCTGGGACTGACATATTCTTCCAACTCTCAGATGGCTGGCTCCTTCTCGACCTTTAAATATCTGCTCACATGTGCCTTCTTTAGAGAGTCACCCGACAATAACAGTTTCCCCACAGTTCATCTAGAACTTCCACTCTGCTTAATTTTACTCAAAGCACTTACTGTACTGTCTGCGTTTCTATCTGTTAAGTCCAATCAACTCTTGGTATGGCTATAATACAAATTTCATGAACAAGGGTTTTCTTCTTCTTTCCTGTAATTATGTCCTCATTGCATAGAATAGCAACTGGCTCCTTGTAAACTCCAAGCAAGGATTTGTTGGCTCACTGATGCCTCTGTCTCAAGGCTTATCTTTACTGATCAGCAAAGATTATTGGGTTTGTGAGATAATATTTTGCTAAATTAAGGCAACTTGGTTAAGTGGGAATTAGCATCCACTAGAATCCACACACCTGCTAGCTACTGACAAGGACTCCTCCAACAACTGAGCTGAAGTCATACACTACACCTGCTGGGTTTGAAGTGGCGTTCTGGGCCCTCCTTGGCGCAGCGGGTTGGAGCACAGCACTGAGAAGCTCGGGCCACTTCAGCATGAGTTCGATCCCCGCCTGCTCCGGAGGAGATCCACATGGCGTGGCAGACCTCTCCTGACCTCTTGCCCACTGCTCCCCTCAGCAGTGTACGCTGTCAGTTGGGCTGTTCTGTTCCCCACTGTGTCTCTGATGAAGCCTTTCACCGTCCCTGCACTTCTGGCCTGTACCCCAGTTTTGTATGCATAAATAAATAAATCTTAAAAAAAAAATAAAGTGGAGTTCCACCTCTCTTCCCTTTCAAAGTCTTGATGTCTATTGAAAAAGTCTTTAATAAAGACATCCTTGTCACTTTAGCAAGTGTCTAATGAGATTTCTCTGTAATACTAGACACTAAATACCAACACACTTATTAAATCTACGTAATGAATTTTCATTGTTCTCTATAGAACTTTCATGTAGTCTATGCAGTGGGAAGGGTCAAAGGCAGGCTTTTCTTGTCCCTGGGACTGAAGAGTATGGTTTCTCAGGCATATAGGAGAAAGTCAGAAAGAATAAAGGCTACATGATTTCTTTTTATCACCTTTATAGCAGCCATTACTTATTCATCTTGTCACATTTATTTTCAATTGTTCTTGTGGTGACATTTTAATGAATAATCCAAAAACAATGCTCAATTCAAAATGACACCCTAAACCTCCTAAACAAAGACATGTTCAGTATATTAAAAAAGCGCTCCCCTCCACCACATCGCCATATAATTCACAGGCAGCCCACTCCTGACTGTGCTGACAGAGATTATGTGATCATACCTGCAACATCAAACTCGATTTCCAGGGTGACCTTGCTTGTGATTGAAGAGTCTCGGAGGAGCTGATTGGCTTCCTCGAAGGTGCTGTCTTCAGTTGGAATTCCATTAATAGCCATCACTCTGTCTCCAATCTGTAGTACCCCACATCTAAATTTAGAATCATATGTTAGAGGTTGTAGAGACAGAGTAAGCTATTTTCAAGTTAAATTGCTAGATCTACTTTTTTTGATTCTTGCCAAATAGCATTACCATTTAGTCTTGTTACTCAATGCTGTGGGCAACTACAATGTCTTGCTCGCTTGCATTTCAGGACTACAAATGTGAGCAGGGAAAGCTTGATGTATCCCAGAGAATTAATTAATAATTCAGCACCATGGCATTGTTATAATCCGATCTGAACCAATATCTAGTAGTGGTGAATGTACATTCCCCCATGGCAGTGAAATTATTAAAGTCTGAGCTTCAGATATTTTTGTATGGATTTTTTTTCTTTTTTAATTAATATAGCCTCCAGCCCCCCGATGGACAAAAATGTGCTGGATAAAGGCATCCTTGCTTTTATTCTTCTCAAATCTGATCAAGAACATAACATTTTATTATCAGAACAGTTATGTCTTGCATTTCCTGCACTGAGGACTATTCAATAATTTATTAGCTATTCAAAGACAGCCAGAGATGCAGGGCAGAAAAAGAAGCTGGGGGAGAAACCACCTCACCTCTCTGCAGGGCTGTCAGCTTCAATATAGGAAATCAGAGGTGGTGAAGAGAGCGTCTCTGTGGCAAACACGCTGCCCTGTAGCTGGATCCCAAATCCTGTGACAGGGTCTGCTGCCAGCACCACCTCTGTGGTTTCCGTATGAACAACCTGCCCGGCCAGGCCCACCGTGCTAGAGGCTAAAGACACTAGAGGAACAAGGAAAAGACCGGTGTGAGTGTGGAGAACGTACCAGCGATGCCATCTTTCCCCAGACACTTGGTGTCCTTGAAAAGGCGCTCACTGGCATTGAGGAACAGGTTTTATTCTGGTCAGAGCGGAATAAAACATAGCAATCTCCTAATATTTGTGATCATCTGTCACAGCGCCAGTGTGGCTCTCTCCCTTGAATGACCTCCTGTGTGGGGGCAGTGGTGGGACAGTAGGAAGGAGATGGCTTTGGGCTCAGGGTACCTGTTTTCTAGTCCTGGGTCCACCACTAAGCAAGCAGCTGGGTGACCCTGGTTCAGTCACCATGAGTCACTGCCTCTTTCTTAGCTAGGAAAAAGAGGGCTGGGCTGGATTAATTTTTGTTGTTGTTGGTTTGTCTATTTGCTTTCCCCACCTAGAGTATCTGCACCTAAGGTTTAAGCTTTTTACTATCTAAATTCTAGCTCTGAAAAAACTCCTAAGTCTGGGTATGGAGTGGGGAGGTGCTAATTGTCAAAGTTAAATCTAGCACTGCCTCTACAAGATGGGGTCAATTACAATCTATGCTCTTTCTTTCCCAGAATGTGGTCTCTCTGCCCCTCTTCTTCCCCAGCTTCCATTCACCTCGTTTTTCTGGTGTTCATTTAACCCTGCGGCACCCACCTCAAGCTTGTTACAGTCCCAGCCCAAGTCAGGATATGGCTACTCTCCTCCTGGGTGGCTTTTCCTCAGCTCTGCTTCCTGTGGTCCACGTACGGTCCCCCCGTTGCTCTCTGTGGGCAGGCTGGCGGTCTGCGGGGTCCTACACTGCACGTTTACTTCCCCCACTAAGGCTATTCTGACCCACTTACTTCAGCTGAAACCTGATGATACCCTTGACCCCAAATTGCTCCAACCAGAAGCCTTTTTTTTTTTACTTTCCCTGCATGAGTTAAACTGAGAGAAGCACTTATAAAATTCCTTGTTTCCTATATGCCAACAGCTCCAATTCAGCTCCAAAAGTTCCAGTTCAATACTTCTGCTTTGCCTCATCTTCAACCCAATAGAAGCTTTCTACTTTTACAAAGTTACCAATTTCTTCGCTGATTTCAGTACTTGACTCTTTACTTCCTCTACCAGTAAGTTTTTCTTGTCCTCTTTTCACATGGGATATGATTTGTCAGCTCTCAGTTGAAATCTAGCCATTCTACCCCACACTTCGACTCCCTGCCAGCAACGCTGGACGCCATCCTCCTTTAAAATGAGTAGAGCTCCAGGATCTCAGTGTCTGAATTCTCCTTGCTGATTCTGGATCCTTTAGCCATCTTTCCAGGTCCCTTTTCTCTGTAGGACTTCTAGACCCACTTCCTCTCACTTCTCTCCAACCCAGTGGTTTTCAAACACTTTAACACCAGATGCCCCCCCTTCATGTGAAAGCATATATGGGATGCCTTTGTATCCCAGATAAAAACAGAGCCACTGCAGGTACTGAGGAAGGAGAGGAGGACCCCAGAGGTCTGCTGCTGGGAGCACAGTTCCCAAGCCATCATCTTCTGATTGTCCTTCAGATGTCATCCGGCTCTCATTGTCATCCTTTCTTCTCATCATCCTCCATTTGAACCTTGGTGACTATTTCATTGCTACATCTGCTGATACAAGAGACTCTTCAACCTCATAGGACTTGGCTCTACTCTAATCCCTTATACTCTGATACAGCCTGGCCAATTCGCTGGCTGTTTCTAAGTTGCCGAAGGGTACTAGATGAAGGCAAAGTAATGCACAGTATTCTCTGTGGGGCCCTGGAATCTTGTATAATATTTTTGCACCCTATTTAATCCCTTACAGAATCTGTCTCACACACAGCTGCCCATATCAGGCTCAAACTATTTCCTACAAGTCTGAAGAGATGCAACCAAAGGCAAGGATTCCTGGTACCACATACTTTCCAATATCAATTTCTCAATCATTGTCTATTTTCTCTTCCATTTCTTCTTGCTTTGGGAGGATGTATCCTTTCTTCCATTTCAAGGCAAACTCTTAGTGTTTTTGATACTGTTCTTTTCCACTCCTACTGTGATTTTGTGCCTCAAAACTTCTCACTTGCTGTTATTTCTAACTTTCCTACTCACTCCTCTACTCTGACTTCTCTCAATAGGTTGTGCTAATTCTGAAATGCTTACAACGTGCTTCCCCTTCACCCTTGACTGGATCTCCTGTCACTGATGACTTCCAGATTGCCAGTCAATAACCTCATCAGCTTCAGCCACTATGCAGCTCCACTCAACTGTTTGTGGGAACCAGCCCTTCTTTTCTGAAATTGCTCTCAATTTTGATGAACGTTTGTTCTTAGCATCTTATTTTCTCAGCTCCTATGGGCTTCCCCGCCACCTCCTACACGCCACATAACTAGTTCCCCACAGTTCTGCCTTAAACCTGCCATTTCTAGTCTCATTTTTTCCTGTACCCACTGCCAATGCTTCTTGTATGTGACCTCTGCCTGTATCTATCTATTCAAATCTTCTGTATTTTTTTTTCAGTTTCCAGTGATGAATTTCCTCCCTCGATGGATAGTTTCATTTCTACGGATGCCTCATTGACTCCTCATTTCCAAAACTGAGTTAATCATCTTCTCTTCCTCATTGCCATTATTTTTATGAATAGGATCATAATGTTTATAGACCCCCAGGCTCAAGATCTCAAACTAGCCTTTGACTCACAACTCTCCAGTCTCAAGTTCAGTAAAATGCTAAGTCCTTTCAGGGTGACCTGTGTACCTTGGGTAAAACTTGATAACACTAAAACAAAACAAACTCTAGAAATCTGATTGTAGAGGCTACAGGAGGGTCCTGGCATAGGGTGGGTAGACAAAGGGGGGGGGGCAATCCACTCTGCTGGAGATTATGCCTTGGTTTTGGGTGTGGTGCAGTAACTATCAACACAACTGAAGCGGTGCGAACCTATACCCCTAAACCACACATAGTGTTGTAAATCAATGTTTTGTCAATAAAAATTATGTTCTAAAAACGAAACATATTTTGTATAAATATTTTTTTCTCATTACTGGCAGTCTCTTAATTCAGGATTTTTTTTTTCAATAATCCTAATATGCATGCTTCTGTATGCTCTCATGCCCAGTGTTTTCCATATATTTTTGTCAGATTACTTATCTACTTCTCTAGAGCAGGGCCTCAGCATTGCTAGTGTCGATTACTATACAGACTTTGAATCAGTATTCTTGCCTCTTCTGCTAATATATAAAGGTCATCTCCTTGTTTAGAATCTGTCAAGGGCTCCCTATGCCAATTCTGGCAGAGCACAAAAGTCCCTCTGCAAGTTCATTTTCTCTTGCCCAGCCAGTCTTATCTTGCTCTGTGCTTCCTTCACACCACGTGTATCAGCCCTGTTTCCACTAGGCGTCGCTTTATATACTGTCTTCTGTCCTTTCAGCTCTACTCCTCGGTTTTTATTGTCTCTTATCCTGCCTTATCCAGACAGAACTAGGTAATTATTTTCCTACATTTCCAGATTTCTAATACATAGTCCTGTTTCAGCATTTATTGAGTTTTTATTTGCCTGGCTGTCTCTCCATTTGACCCTGAGCACTTTAAAGATTGGACTGAGATTGTTTCGTCTCTGAAATTTCAGTGCCTAGAATAGTCAGTGAATGCTAAATGCATGAGAAATGAATCAAGTTTTGTGATATCCACATTTTCCTTTTCCAACTGACATTTCATGTAGATTCTGTTGAGTTATCATAAAGAATCATAAGTTATTCCTCAGGACCCTGTCTACTGTGTAGACTGGGCCAGCATCGTTCCTGACATGGCAGAGGAGGGGTATGGGAAAGTGTGTTTCTGCTTGAGAAGTGCCATCATGTTTGTCTCAGCAGGATTTCTGTAGATGGCCTTCCTCATTCATCGCAAGAAGGTAGCTTCCATGCAACCCTAAGCTTTTTTCAGGAGGCAGCCTATGGTCCCCAAGGTCTGACACATGGAATAGAAGATCACATCTGCTAGTGTGCCTTTGTTGATATGACCAGACTTTGCTCTCCAAAGCACACGTTTTGTTATTGGTGCACAAAACCTGTAGAAAATACCACTTATTGTCACATATCTCTAAAAAGGTTTTTTTCCTCACTCACCGCAACATGGATGGAGCTGGAAGGGATTATGCTCAGTGAAACAAGTCAGAAGGAAAAAAAGAAAAATATTGAATGGTTTCACTTATAGGAGGAATTTAAGAGAACCAAATATAAGACATAGGGAAAAAAGTTTATTGTTGTTACAATACAAAACATAACACAACAAAACAAGACAGACAGTTATAAACCAGAGATATTCTACAGAGGAGGGGAACAGAGAGGGATCAGAAGGAGGGAGGAATATAGTGATGACAGGAAGGGGCAGGGGAAGTAAACAACATGGCTGTAAAATGAACAATAATGTAAATAGATAAATAAAAAAAGGTTTTTTTTTTTTTACCATTAATTTTCATAGTGGGCAGATACTCTCACTTCATCTTATGGGTGAAGCTATTTGGAATTTAAAGGAATACTCCACTTTCTATGAATCTTTTTGTAGGTTCATTTTTTTTTAAAAGGCTTTATTTATTTATGCATACAGAACTGGGTACAGGCCAGAGGTGCAGGGATGGTGAGAGGATTCACCAGAGACAGAGAGGGGAGCAGAACAGGCAGATCTACTGAAATCCACTGCTGAGGGGGAACAATAGGGAGAGGTCTGCTGTGCTATGCACGTCAGCTCCTTGGTCAGGGATTGAACTCACGCTGCAGTAGCTGTCAATAGTAGCTGAGACTTAACCCCTCAGCCACCAGGAAGGCCCCAAGAAGGGGGTAAATTTAATGGTAATAGAAGGAACTAGATTAGGAATTAAGTGAAGACCTTCTTGAAGGAGAGACTTGTTCTAGTTTTTGGAACGGTTCAAAGAGATAGCTGAAGAATCTCATTCTCTAGAACGTTTTGAAAACAAGTCCTAATACTATCAGTATCATTACATTTAT